TTAGAGCCCTTTTGAAGGTATCCACAAAATGCTCTGCCTGGCCGTTACTTCTAGGATGGTAAGGGGCAATTGTTATGTGCTCTACCACAAACATTTTGCAAAATTCCTTAAATTCTTTCGATGTAAATTGAGTGCCGTTATCCGACACAATCAAATCTGGTACTCCGAACCTCACAAACAGTTCATGTAGAAACTGAATTACTACTTGTATGGTTGGTTTGTTACATCTGAATATCTCTGGCCACTTTGAAAAACTGTCTACGACAATTATATATGTCCCATTAAGTGGACCAGCAAAGTCAACATGCAGACATGACCATGGGCAGTCAGTTTTTGGCCATGGGTTGAACTTAATTGGTGGTGCTTTAGCCACCAAAGCACAGCCTTTGCATGACTTCACCAGACATTCAATGTCTCTATCCATGCTACACCAGTATATGTAACTTCTCATCAAGCTTTTCATTCTGGATATACCAGGATGTCCTGCATGAAATTCTTTCAGGATTCTCTTTTGTAGTGCCAAAGGTACCACTACTCTTTCGCTGTACATGAGAACGTCATCGCATATTGAGTATACTCCTGAATCTGCTTTAGTCCTGTCTTTAAGTTTTTTCTTCATTTCAGTAATAAATTTGTCCTCCAATGCTTTACTTTTTATATCTTCCAACATCACAGGTAGTTCCTGCACAGTATTGCATAGTACATTTTTTTATCTCTACTTCCAATTGTAGAGAAGCAATGACCGTGTCTTCTAAAGGTTCATTATTCCTTGGAATAAGTCTGGACAACCCGTCTACATGACTTAATTTACATGATGGTAAGAATTCCATTTTAAAGTCGTAATTTAGTAAAATGGTTCCCCATCATTGTAACCTATTAGCCGTATGAGTCGGTAATCCTTTTTTTGGACCCATAAATAGCTATCAACGGTTTGTGATCTGTTTGTAGAGTAAACCTTCTCCCGTGAATGAATCTATGAAATTTTTTCAGAGCAAAGACAATCCCTAAACTTTCCTTTTCAATCACGGAGTAATTTTTTCAGCTGGAAGAAGCGTCCTGGATGCATGTGCAATCAGTTTAATCGAGCCATCTTCTAGTTTATGCATAATGCAGGCTCCTATACCGTACGCACTAGCATCACTTGCTACGATTATTTTTTTTTGGATCGTAGTGTGTCAAGAACAAGTCTGACATTAGTATTTTTTAATTTTCTCAAATGCTTCCTGGCATTCCGTCATCCAAGACCATTTAGCATCTTTCTTCAAAAGCTCATTCAACGGAGCTCGCAAGCAATGCATATTTGGTACAAATACATTATAGTAACTTGCTAACCCCAGGAAACTTTGTAGGGTACTGACATTTACAGGAGCAGGCATGTCCTTTATAGCACTGGCATGTGCTGGATCTGGTCTCCTGCCCTTCTTGTCAATTATCTGACCTAAATATTTAATTTTGTCCATAAAGAATTCACACTTTTCGTCCTTCAGTTTGAATCCATAGTCCTGAATTCTTCTGAAAACTTCGAAAATATTTTTCTTGTGTTCTTCAGGGTTTTCACTTTTCAGCAAAATATCGTCAAGATACGCAACTGCAAAGTCCAGTCCACTCAGCATTGTGTCCATTACTTGCTGAAAAATCACTGGAGCGACCTTTATGCCGAAAGGCAAATGATTAAATTTGTACATCCCACGATGTGTATTTATGGTCAGTAATCTTGAACATTCATCATCTACTGGAATCTGAAGATACGCATCACTTAGGTTGATTTTGGAAAATATCCAACCCCCACTAAGTTGCACGAAAACCTCTTCTGGCCCTGTAATGATAACTTTTGAGAGCATCGTTTAAGCCCGTGGAAAAATCCACGCAGACATGTATGTCTTTTGACTTTTTCTTTATATAAACGGTTGGCAAAGCCCAATCACTATATTCCACCTTCGATAAAACACCCATTTTTTCAAGTCTATCAAGCTTGTCATCAATGTGTTTTAGCGAGGCAAATGGCACATTTGTTTCTTTTTGAAAACTGGTTGTAGGTTTTCTTTTAGCTTGAATTTAGCTTTCATTTTCTTGCACCTGCCTAACACACCAGAAAATATGTCTGAGAATTTATTTTTTAATTCATCTTTTAGACTTTCCGTTTCATTAGTAAAACTTTTCAATTTTTGGCAGAATGAATTAATTGAACCGTTCCATCCAATCTGTTCTAAACAGGTTATTCGTGCTTTTCATGACAAAAAGTCTTAACTTCAAGGTTTTATCTTTTAATGTTAGATTTATCATAAATTCAACTTCGAATTTTATTTTCTGTCCTGTAACACTCCGAGTGGCTTTTTTGGTAACCATTAACATTGGTTTACCCAATTTTCTCCATGTGCAAACATTTATTATACTCAAATCAGAAGCACTGTCGAGTTGCAGTCTGATGTTTTTGTTCAGGTTTTTTACCTGCACAAATTTTCTTATAGGCGATTTATCCACATTAGTAATTTTAATGTAATTACTCACTCGTTTTTTAAATTTTGTCTTACAGTGGGTTTTTTATGTGTCCTTTTTTCACACTGAAAACATTGTTTCTTTAGTAATGAGAATCCTTATACCAATGTAATTTTCCACATGTGTAACAGGGGTTACGAGTGATATTTCTTTTCTTCTTCACATTATGTTTGTGACATGATTCTTTAATGTGCGACCCGATGCTTATCTCAATATATTTGCCATCTCAATGAACATTTATAAATTTCTGACAACCATCTGCTAAGATTTGCAATGTTAAATTGGGTTCGTTTTCCAGTTTATTTAAAATCCTTCTTCGGATTTCAGCATTTTTTGTTAACACCAACCCTTGCACAAATATCAAGCATTTAAAACTGTCAGGTCTTAATTCCACCAATTTGAACTTTTCACAATTTTCGTTCACAATGCTCATGAATGTTGTGAGGACATCATCTTCATTTTTCACTAAATTCATACATTTCCATCTTTGATGTAACAAAGACGTTCCGAGGCTGAAAACTTCCAAAAGCAAAATAACCATTTGCTTAATTGTTAGGTCACTAGTCTTCTTTGGTAATATATAGTTTATGAACTTAGTGTTTCGACAGCACCTTTCCTTTTTGAATCTGACCTTTTATCATCGGACCAGTTTTCACAATCAGTCTTATACAAATCTTTTTTCTATAGAAAATACAAAAAAGTTAACTCTTTTTGGTAGATAGTGAAATGCCACAATTGCATTTACAATAACGTCTTCAGAATATCCATTCTTATTATTCGTGAGCATTTTCTCTTGTTCTACCAACATTTCCACAAGTTTTTTGAATTTTTGTTTGTACCATTTTTACTGTTTGCCTTGCCGTTTGACTATTTCAAATTGTATCATTTTAAAGTCCTCCATTTTGATTTCTTCCCCATGAAGCTTCGGTGAATTTTACCATGTGATTTTGGCAATATCTTTTTACGCCAAAGTTGTGCTGGAGAATGTTTCCTTGATTTGCAGCCTAAATGCCACACTACCAAAATTTTCTGATTTGGACAAATCCTTGTTTGGTTAAATCCTTTCAAAATGTTGTATTTTTTGCCAATCCTTGTCAAAAAATGTTGTATTTTGATTAATCCTTGATACCAAAATGTTGTAATTTTGGCTAATCCTCGTCAAAAAATGTTGTAACCTAGGGAAGGTTACTGAATAGAATAATCACACAAAGGTTGGTAATGAACGAATCAAAAGTATGAGTTCCAGTTATTATGCAAAGAAGTTTGCTTGATTTTTGTTTAACAGCATATCAACACCTCTATGGGTTATTTAATACCAAAATCTAAATATTTTGAACATAATTTTATGGCTTCAACTAAATATATTTTGAACGCAATTGTATGCCTTCAACTACAGATAATATGTATTGATGGTCATTTTGCTTTAAATATGTATTGCTGGTTGGTTGATTTTGTTTAGCGGCATATCAACACCTCTATGGGTTATTTAAAGCCAAAATCTAAATATTTTGAACATAATTTTATAGCTTCAACTAAATATATTTTGAACGCAATTTATGCCTTCAACTACAGATAATATGTATTGCTGGCCATTTTGCTTTAAAAATGCATTTTTGGTCATTTTACTATAAAAATGTATTTTTATACTTTCATAGTGTTTTGTTTTTGTTTGGGAGGGGGGGGGTCATTATTTGCCCATAACTGGACCCTAACAGGTGCTACCATTATGGGGCAGGGTGGAACTGAGAACAGCAGCAATTAAGGAGTGGTTCCAAATCTCCTCAAAACCTCTAATCTCCCAATCATCATACCCAGGACTACATTGAGCATGGGATTAGTAACTCCATCACATAAAAACCTACTGCTTAGTATGAAAAGTACAGAAGCAACAAGTGCATGAGTAGAGGTAGAAGAAATTGGTTTATCTCTTTCCCAAGTGTGTATGTGACTGGAATTTGAACTCAGCATACTGATTATATATATATATATATATATATATATATATATATTCCATGCTGATAACCACAGGGCAGTACACACAGTTAATAAGAACAGGGGACAAATAACCCAGTCATATATATGTTTTGATTTATTTTGTTTGTTTTTTTTTTGTTTTTTTTAAAGCTTATCAACTCTTTGCCAGTTATTTAAAGCCAGAAAATATTTTTACATGGTAAGAATTCTTTGGAGATAATAACGATTTTTACTGATACAAGTCCTACTAATTAACCCATAGCTGGGGGAGAGAAGAGGCGGATTCATACCTTTCCCAAACGTATCTGCACATAAGTGAATATAACGAACCTGACTGGAATTGAAATTCGGCTCACCGATTTCCAATTCCAAGCCTTTATCCATTACAGCACACGCACATCCAAGCTTACAGCACCTGGCATTCCCAAGTGGTCACCCATCTAAGTACTGACCAGGCTCGTCGTTGCTTAACTGGTTGTTCAATGTGATATGGCTGTAAGCCCCAGTCGTATATTAATTGAAGGAGATACGTAAACCTTGAAAAATAAAGATAATAAAAATGAATAAATTATATTGAAAACCAAGTTTAAATTTGTTAAAATCTAGTTTCTACAACAATACAGTTTAAGTAAAAATCAAGCAATCTGCTGCTTAACATTAATCCTGTTTTGTCTTTTGCTAATATAGATTTTGTTTGTGTGAAATAAAAACTCTTTTCATGATGACACTGGTTTTTCAATGAAAGACCAATGTAGAAATTTTTCAAATTGTCTTATATAATTAGAAACATGCAATTTAACTGAAAGGTAGAAAAAGACAATAGAAAGCCAAAGAAAATAGTTTTTTGACTGAATAATGAGCCTATGAATTTATATGAATAAATCTATCAGAAAACAAATGTTGGAAGCTTTTGCAACAACTTAAGATGATGAAATACACAATTTAGATAAATGGTGATGCAAGATCATAGAAAGCTAAAGAAAAGTTTCTTGACTGAATAATAAATGCAGTGATGTGCAGGTGGTGCAATGGCCATTGGCTTGGAATTAAAAAATCAGTGAGCTAAGTTCAAATTCCAGTCAAGTACATTACATTCACTTTTACGCGTTTAGAAAAGGTATGACTCCATTTCTTCTCCCCAATCTATAGGTTAAATAGCAAGGCAGACTGAACCCTCTAACTGTATTTGGCAACCAGAGAAAAGTAACTCCAAATTCAAAAATTTATGTGGCCCTGGTAGGGGGGCACATCCTTGTTAGCATAGAAATACATGGTCATCTAAGAAACAGCTCTTGGTCAGGGTAGAGAGGTCAGGCATAAGGCCAATCATCCCACTTCATGGAACAATTTATATGAATAAACAGTTATCAGAAAACAATCTAGAAACTTTTGCAATGACCTAAGAGGATGGAATACATAATTTAGCTAAAAAGGTGGTGCAAAATCATAAAAAAAAAAAACAAAACAAAATAAAACAAAGAAAATACTTTCATGACTGAATAATGAGGCTATGAATTTATATAAAAAAAGACATTCCTCAAAAAAAAAATTTTAAGTTTTTTTTAATAAGCTGAACACATTTCCATTGATGTCAAATTAGAATCCAGTTTTTACCTCAAATAAAACACAAAGTTATACATGTATTATACTTATCCAGTCTAAGGCCTAAATTCTATAGTAATGAATATCAAACTCAATATATGGTCATAATAATCTGTTAAATTTTCTTGCCCTAGAAGAGAGCATCAAAATGTGATATTATATCAGAGTCAATAAATGCAGGGATGTGCAGGTGGTGCAATGGTTAGTGGCATGGAATAAAAAGTCAGTGAGTTGAGTTCAAAATTCCAGTCAAGTTCATTGCATTTACTTTTACACATTTGGGAAAGGTATGAATCCATCTCTTCTCCTCCCATCTATAGGTTAAATAACAAGGCAGACTGAACCCTCTAACTGTATTTGGCAATCAAATCTAAGATAAGGGTAACTCTAAATTCAAAACACATACTTGTTAACACAGAAACTAGTGAAGAAACCAGCTCTTGGTTAGGGTAAAGAGGTCAGGCATAAGGCCAATCATCCTACTTCATGAAACAATTTGATTACAGAAACCTCAAAGAGACCTTATGTGTCGCAAGACTCCAGGAAGATAGCACCAATAAAACAAAAAAGATTTCCAATATTATAGTATTTGTTTGAGCGAGAAAAAAAATGGAAGGTTGTAACAGCCAGAAAACAAGTATCTAACATCAAAATGATCAAAAATTTCAAAGACATGCTTACCCTTCCTGATTTTGTCAGTTCAGATTCTCGAGAAGCCTCATCATCCAATTCTTCAAATTTTAGAACTTTTTTTTTGAGTTTTCCCATACGAGTTACTGAAAAAAAAATAAAATAAAATAAAAATTTCTCATGTAAATTTCTGAATATTAGAGATAAATAAGGAGTTATTAATGGAATCATTCACACCATAAAAGGTTAGAGAGCCCAATCTATGCTGCTATTTAACCCATAGATGGTGGAGAAGAAATGGATTTATACAAGTGAATGCAACTGTCTAGGCCAGAACTTGAAATCAGTTTGCCAATTCCACACTAATAACTGTTTTACCATCCACACACAGATAAATATCCAGATGTAACAACTTTGATTTTGAGACCTCCACAATAAAACGTGATACCTAAGGTTTAAAATGAATTTTTAAAAATGAAATATCTTTCTTGAAGCTTTTATTTTTAGTTTTAATTTCAAGCTAATAGATTAAATTTAATATTTCCAATAAGCAAAATACTTTGATGCATTTCAAAAAATAATTGACTGGAAAGAATTTTTTTTTTTGCTAAAAATAGCTGATTAGCAACCATTTTTAGTTATCTTTCATTGCAATATAATTGCCTTTGTTAAAAATCTTCCAAAAATAAAATATACTTTCCTGAAACTTTATTTGAGGAATATTAGCTGATTTAAAACTAATATTATTTACTTAAAGTTTAAAATAGAGCACTTATTTTACATAATTTTCAAGTACTCAGTAATCTTAAAAATTTAGGAAAAATATCTCCGCAATCTAATGTTTTAATGAATTTTAGAAATGCTGACTTTAAATTTACTATAGTTATCACTTTTTTTCTAATATTGTGTATGGTCACCTGTACTTACAAAAATTGACACACACACACAGAAAAAAATTCAAAATACTTTTAAAAATATTGGTGTCTGATGACTTGTATTAAGCTTTTCCATTTATGATTAGTAGATATCGTTTTCACTTAATAATATCATCTAAATGGCTGAAATTAATACAGAATTTTAAGATTTAAAATTTCATAAATTTTTCTAATCAAAATTTTTAAAAGTGAAAGCAATTCTTGTAAAAATTCATTATTCATTGAATTTTTTTTTCCTTAAGACAATAATGTCCTTAATATATCATATATAAAAGCAATTAAAAGCTTTTCTAATTAAATAATGTCTTAGTTTTATTTCATTTTTTTATTTTATGATTCAGAGCAGATTTTCGGTAAATGGTGTTGCTGTTTGATAAAAATAAATTGATGATGTAAATTTTCCATGGAGTCTTGATTTTAACTAATATGAATAGGAAGAGGCTAGGATTTTAATTTCTCAAAATTTCTTTAATTTTAAGATGGATAACAAATGTAAAAAAAATTTCAACAATAATTTCATTCATTTGTAAGTCCTGAAAATCTAATTAAAATCCAACAATAATTTGATTTTTGCTAGAAAAAAAATGGGTAAAAATCCCTATACAGTGTAACCCGGATATAAGAGAGATTTTCTCTGGTCCCAAATTAGAACCTGTGTTAATGTATATAAAATAGACCAAACAAGGATATAAGAGACTTCTTCTCCGGTCCCAACAACTCTCTTATATCCGGGTTACACTGTACTAATCTTTGGCCCACCCGTTGACACAAGAAATACTTTGGTCTTTCCTCTATAATAAGAAATATTTTGACAATAAACCTTTGTTTTTGTCAAGTTTGGAGCCCTTTTTTTTATCATGGTATGCTCTTTTTTTAGAAAGGTTTTGGAGGTACCTACTAGGAAGGAAGCCCACATCAATTCTGGAAAGAGTGATAACATTTAATGAACTCAAGAACCTATTGCTGCTGTTGAATCCATAGCTACTGGGAGAAAAGATGGATACCTTTTCTAAAGATATTTGTGTGTAAGTGAATGCAATGCACTTGACTGGAATTTGAACTTGGGCCTTTCCGATTTCTTATTCCAAGCTGTTATCTATTAGACTGTCTGCACACATCACATAATTTTGGTCAAAGTAGTGTGGAACATCAGGATCTTGAATGTGTCATTATTCTCTTAATTTTTTTTTTTTTTTTTTCCTCAAAGTATCCAAAGAATGGATGTAAACACAGAATTAGGTAGAGGTTAATGTTTGTCAGCAGCGGCATGATGTGCATGATGATGAACATTCTGGGCAGCTGTCAATCCATAAATTGAAGAGCACCTAAAAAATGCCTCGCTAATAGGGATGACCATGCAGAAAAATGATTGCTTTTTTTGCTGAAAACTTGCTCTATAGTGTTAATTTGCTCCCTGAATTAGTTTTGTTTTCTGTGCAAATAAATAGGAAGCTTACTTTTGGAGCATTCGTTATGTGCATTTAGTTACTTTTTTTTTTTTTTTTGTAGTCTGCAATATTATTAAATAATTATTTCTGTTGGAAAATTATTCATCTTTGAGAATTATCTTCTATCAAAATAGGCTGAATCTTTAGAACTGATTTGTTTTTTTTTACAATAAATTTTTTTGTAAAATGAACAAAAAACAACATGAATTTTTTTAAAAAAAAAGGGGGTAGCACTCAAAATTAAAATTTATTACAAATTAATAGCATTTTTTTTGTCATGATTGAAAATTTTTTTATCAACAATATGGTCACAATCTTTTTTTGTCTTGCTAATAGTGGAAATTTTCCTCTACAACGAATTTTTACAGTGTGAATAAACATTTGAAAAAAAAAAAAAAAAAAAACTAAAGCATGTAAGTAAAATAATAAATAAAGAATAAAAATATATAATTATCTTTTTAACTTTATGCAAGTTTCAAAATCTTCTTAAGTCAAATTTAGAAAACTGTCCAAAAATCGAAATTTAAAATAAATAAAAAACCATATCAAACGAAGTGTCAATTTTAATACCAAAAAAAAAAAAAATCTTTTTCTTCTAGTTTATTTTTTTTTATGAAGTTTTATCTAAAAAATTATTATAGTATTTTTTAGCCAGCCTCATAATTAGAAATCTACCCTAATTTGTTGAACAGTATGTTTGTTTGAAAATTGTCAAATTTTAATTTAAATTAAAATAAAATCCTTACTTTGTTAAATAAAAGCAATTAAAAAAAATATTTTTTTTAACTTTAAGAAATCATTTTAATCTTTAAAATATAATAAAACACTTTCAAAGTGTATTATTGTTTGTTTTTTTTCAAACAAAATGCTGTCAAAAGTTTAACAAAAGTTGATTGCAATATGAAACAAAGAGAAAAATTGGGGGAGCCACATAGATTGTAAAATTTACAAATTTTAAACAAAAAAGCATTCTTTTTAAAACCCATTATTATTATTATTATTGCCATTACGTTTTCTGCAAATACAATTGTAATTATAGTTTTAAATGCTTTTTTTTTTAATTCCTCATGCAGTTCCAATAAAATTAGGGAAAATAAACAATTTGATAAACACAAAAACAATTGAAAAATGTCATAAAAAAACCTAAAAAGATGACATGACATGCACAACGTAAACAAATCAATTTTTACTTAACTAAGACCGACAAATTAATTTACATCACAACTTAATAAATTCATCAAGATAAAAAAAATCTACAAAATTAGCTTTTTGAAAAAAAGGAAAATAATGGGGAAAAAATAATCAAAAGAAGATTTACTTAATGTTTTGCATAGAAACTAAAAAATAAGCAAAGCAAAAAGAGTCAATTTAATTAATTTTCAAATTTTTTTTGTAATGCTTTAAAGAAGAAGATTGCCTTTTAAAACTCTCTAATTAATTAAAACAAAACTTAGATGACCACCCCAAAAATCTTAAACAGAATAACAAAAAATATATCTTTTTTCTTTTGAAAGAAAATAGTGTAATCAATTTCCCTACCAAAAACGGACAAATCCATTCATTCTGGTCAATACCGGTTGTCAAAGACATAATCAGACTAAAAAAAAAAAAGTAACTGTGTCTAATAACGGTTCAAAGTTCACAAAAAGAGAAAAGAAACTATAGATATACTTTTTACTTATTTAAAAACGAAAACTATTTAAAAATACAACATAAAAATCACACCGGTAATTCTAGTAATGCCTCTAGTCAATTTGCTCTATTCTTAGCGCTAAATCAAAACCAATCAAAAACATTGTTTTTTTTCAAAAATTGTAATAAATTTTGACATACATTCATCAGCTTTCAAAAATCTCTTTGTAAATTCATCTTCTTCCTCGTCGTCGAGTTCTCTTTTTCTCTTGATTTGTTTCGGAGCGGCCATTTTGAATTATTATTTGAAAGAGTTATCGTTCTTGCTGAGTACCCGCCATTGAAAGCTTAACGTTCAGTTAATACCTACTACGGTTGCCAATACACGCAATAAAGATTATATTCTTTTCAACGCTAACTTCAGTAAGAGGTTCGATCCGCTACAATAATTTTTTTTAAAGTTGCAGGGCACCATTATCGTCTCGTACAAAATAAAGCATAAAACTAATTTCAGAATATCTTGCGCGGCAAGTTTAAAATGTTTTTAATATTTTTGTTTACCCAATTTTAAGTTAACCCACTCAAAGCCAAAAGATACAAAAAAGGTTTTTTATTTTTCTTCGTTAAATCTAAAACATAGTTTGAATAGAATGAATACATTTTTAGCAGAAAGAAGTTTTTCTCAGTCTACTACGAAGCCTCAAGCAGGACGTTTTAGAATGAGGATCGAACTTAGTACAACAACTGATTGACTATTGATTGACTGATGGAAATCCTACTGGGATTCAGCTTTGGCGGCTACTATCTTAACAATATAAGATACGCAGATGACACTGTACTGATAGCAGACATGGAAAAGAAATTATTAATCCTCCTACAGAAATGATAGAAGGGACTAAGTATAATAGACTACAAGAAGACAATGCATGGTCACCAGTAAAAAAAAAAAAATGAGCCCGAATTTGCAGGTCGGAGACACTAAAATCAAGCAGAATCAAAATATCTCGGAAGTGTTTTGACAGAGGACGGTAAGTGCGACACTGAGATCCGTAGACGTATTGGGATGGCCAAGGACGCATTCCAAAAGTTAGGCAGAGTATTGCGAGACAGGAGGATATCTTTGGTAACAAAGAAAAGAGTACTGAGCTGTTACATGACATCTGCCCTCCTCCGGCAGCGAATGTTGGACGATCTCCTCAAAGATGAAGAAGAGACTCAAGGCGACGAAGATAGGGTTCTACAGAAGAATGCTGAGGATATCATGGACCGAGCGTGTGAACAACGATGAGATCTTGGAAAGGATACAAACAAGGAAGCTTATACTTAAACATTAGGAAGAAGCAGTTGAAGTTTCTGGGACACGTAATGAGAAAGGAGGGCCTGAAGAATCTGATACTCACAGGTAGAATAGAGGGAAAGAGAAACAAAAGAAAGCAATATATGACATACCTGGCGGGCTTGAGCAAGTAGATGACAGAATGTGGTCTGGAGGAGGTGGGAGAGGAACGAAACTTATTGAGAGATACAAGGGTTAGGAGGGAACAGGAGAACCATGATCGTCTACATCTTGAGAAGAGACGGCTCAGAAAAAGAAAAGAACCATTACTCTTCATGAAAACTCCGACAGTTTGAGTAGTTAAATTAAATTTTATGGTAAATTTCCTAAGAAGTTTGTTAGAAAGCAGTTCCAGGAATAAGATATTTTAAAAATAAAATTTAATAGATCAATACAATTAAAAAAAATTACTAGGATTTTAATTTTTATTGAATTTCTAATTCGATATTAGAAAATCCTAGTTTTTAGGTTAGGATATTTAAAGATATTTGTGGCGTTACTAAATTAGGATATTACAATTCATCTCTGAGATTTTTTTAAACACCGGATTAAATTAATTCGAGGTCTGTAACATTTATGCGTGTGTGTTTCTTTTCTTTTTCCAACTCAGGTTGCTTACACTGTCAAGAACATCTCCACTTGGTTTCGCCAAACGCCAATTAGGTGGCGCTGTTTAAGTATACAAAATGACAAACATTCCTCTTCCTCTTTCTTCTTCCAAGATGGCGACATTGAGGTGGTACAGAATGGTACGAGATGGTCACGGGGGTCAAGATTAATCGTAACAAGTCTTCCGGTTTGCGATGAAGTGTTCTTCTGGTGCTCTTCAGTTAGACTGACCGTCCTGTCTGCAGATCTCCAGCTGGAGCAGAATTGGTCCGAGGTAGGAGTAGTCGGTCCGGACTTTGCTCTGAAGGCAGTTTTCCTTAAAGGATAGGGCGGAGGTGTGCTCCGTGTACACCTTTCCCTTCATCCTTAACCGACTGGCAGTAATCCATCTTTGCAAGGACCGCTAGAAGGCGATCGAACGCTTGCTCTTCTCCTTCTTGTGGGGCGGAGGCAAGCCACAGGTCCACAGAGTCATCTGTGTCCAGCATCCGTGTCATGGTGGAAGGGCTGGGAATGCCACACGTGGTGAGTCGCCGACAAGCCTCGTGGTTGGTTTTCTTACGCCGCACGTTGACAGAAGATTCACTGTTGACGAGGGGTGTTAGGAACACCTTCCCTAGTCTTATCACCACTCCTGTCTAAACGTCGGATTCAGTCTGAGTGCTTCACCGAATGGTGAGAGGCTTTGCGTGCTACTTCTTGGTCTAGTGACCTCTCACGACCTATGAGGGCATTGTATCGGGAACTAATGGAGTTGGGGGTGTCGGACCCACCTTGACTTGTCCGTGACTGAGTTGCGCTCTTTCTGGTTCTGGGCGCCAGCGGCAAATTACCTCAGGAAACCCGAGTTTTCACTTACCTGGCGATTGATCCGAAACGTGCTTTTTCTCAATGACATGGCTTTCAGAGGGGGCTGAGCAGATATGCCTGATTGTCACTGGTGTGATAGTTGTGCACGCCTTCTTCTACTGTCCTCAGGTCTGCTCGTTCTGAGATCATGCCGGCGAGTTGACAGCTCGAATCGATCCCGAGTATCTTGAGTTTATCGGTCCCGCATGCGTGTGCGATAATGTACCATCTCCCATGGTCTAGGGTGAAACAGGTGGTTTTTCTAATGCTGCTAGCCATGGCAAGGATGGTGCTGTGGGCGACGCGGATGGAGGGAACTTTACGCTTTGAACGTTATTCTCATCAGGATCTGATTGGTTTATTTAGGCATCAGCTCAGGATGAAGATCAGATCTGATAGAAAGTGTTTGATCGCGGCAGATTTCAGCGAAAGGTGGGTAAAAGTTGTGGGTTTGGTTCGACTGAATCGGGACAGTTTTTGATTTTCTTTTTTAGTCACCTATAGGTACAATGCGGAAGATTCATGACGGATCCCATTTCTGGTTAAGCTAGACTTTTGTTTACCTAGTTAATGTGAATAATTGTTGTTCCCGTCTTGTTCTTGGCATTCTCTTTGGTATGTCCCTAGTCAAGATTCCCAACCTCCCCAGTTTGTTTTGTCACCTTTTTATCTAGATTGGATCATCCTTTGATTCTCCCATTTCGTAATTTATTTCTGCCCTTCCCTTGCCTCTAGTGAGTGAGCTGACTGATTCTGCTTACGGACAGAATACAGTGCCCTCTCTTATTTTTCTGTGGTGGTGTTGGGAGAAGTCTTACTAACATATTTTATTTTAGTTTGAATGTTTAGTTGTATTTTATTTTCGTCATTGCATTCATCCCCCCCCACTTATTTCATGACGTATATATATCATCAAATTTTTATGGCATGAGGTTTTTTGTAGGATCCCTGTGAATATATGGTATTTTGGTACATCTCAGATTGGTTGTGGAAGAATGTGTTCTTGTGATGAATAAATCAATTGTAAGGACAAATGGGTTGTGAATTAGCCAGGTATAGGATAGTCAGTGACAACCAGCCTTTTTTCACTTTACCACTCGGTCTTTTGCCCCAAAATAATGTAATTAATAAACTTTCTTCTTCCAAGATGTATCAGAACGTAGATAAGTGCGTACCCACTGGAACGCGTTTGTTACCTTTGTTCACTTACAACTGAACTATCACACAAACACACGCACATACACTCACAAACAAGTACATTTTTAATAATTAATTTTGTAATGTCTTTTCCTTTCAACTGTGTACACATTAGTGTAATTTTCTTTTGTCAATACATGCATTTATAACTTTTTATAATCCAAAGTTTATAACTTATTTTTGACCGGAAACACATGTTGTTTGCAGGACAAATGTTCCAGAAGACATTACATATTCACGAAAAAACGTCCAAACCTCGCAACAATAGAGTTAACCGCAACAACAATAGAAAAATGTCCAATAAAAGACATAAAGTAACTATATTACTAGGTTTACTTCTAGGAAAGATGGCTTACTGTGACGTGCTAGACAATTTTGTTCATCAGAATCCGTCTTGCACATTTTTAAATCTACCATTCTTCCGGGCGTTAAATATTGCTGCCATTCTTGGGCTGGTGATCCTAATCTTGAGATTCTTGACAAAATTCAAAGAAGGGTTTGTAATATAATCGATCCTGAAATGGCATCTCGACTTTAGTCACTTTCTCACCGATGTGCCATGGCTTCCCTCTGTCTTTTCTGCAAATATTTTCATAGCAAATGTTCTAATTAGCTCTTTTTTTTCTTTGTGCCTCGCCTACACGGACTTAAGTCTGCTACTAGATTGGCAATTAGGTCTCACTGTCTTACTGTTGAACGAGATAGATGCAACCGTCAATTCTATTCTGATAATTTCCTTTCTCGCCTGTCGAATTCCCTTCCGTTGTTTTGTTCCCCTGCCAATTACAATCTTCAAAATTCAAAATTATAACTGCCAAATTAATTCTGTCCTAGGTATGATGATATGTTCCAGAAGGCATTGCATATTCACGAAAAACGTCCAAATCTCGCAACAATAGAATTAAACCCCCACAACAATAGAAAAATGTCCAATAAAAGACATAAAGAAACTATATTGCTAGATCTACTCCTAGGAAAGATGGCTCACTGCGCCGTGCCAGACAATTTTGTCGTCAGAATCCATCCTGAATGTTTATAAATCGATCATTCGTCCGAGCATTGCCATATTTCGTCTAAGGCTCCTACTATATATCTTAAGATTCTTGACAAAATTCAAAGAAGGGTTTGTAAAATAATCGATCCTGAAATGGCATCTCGACTTTAGTCACTTTCTCACCGACGTGACATGACTTCCCTCTGTCTTTTCTGCAAATATTTTCATGGCAACTGTTCTAATGATCTTTTTCTTTTCTTAGTGCCTCGCGTACATGGACTTAAGTCTGCTACTATATTGGCAATTA